AGATAGGACTACAAACCTTTTCCCATTGACAATCCACTTTATAATATGACAAATGATCTTATTCAGACGTTGAAATAGGTCAGTGGAGGTACTGTAGACAATGGGATTAATTTATAATCAAGAATCAGAATGAGAATGAATCGGAATGAGAATGCTATTTCTTTGATGTTGTTTACTAAAACTGTGTGGAATTGAAATTGGAGTCAGAAATATAAAAATTACTAATATACTAATTTCTTCTTTCTTGCTAATTACAAATATACATTATTGTGCTAACATTTTTTTAATTAAAATAATAATAAATCTTATTTCATTTTATTACTATATATTATTGATAGTAAATATTTTGTATTATAACCGATTATTAAATAATAATAAATAATTAGTAATTAAAATAAAATTATATCAACTAAAATACATTTTTATCAGGACAACCATCATTTAATATAAAATATTATTATTCTTAATATTTAATAATAATGAATTATCTTTTTAAAAGTTTATCGATATTAATTAATAATAACAAAGTAAAATTAAAAAATTAAATATAAATTTAATAATATTTTATAATAAAATCACATCAACTGAAAAGTTGTATAAATTTTGATTAGAAGAAAAATTATTAGTAGCATAAATGAAAAGGAAATAATCAAAGTATAAAATAATTAATTAAAAAAGTCATGGATCTGGAAGGATAAAAGTACTAAATAAGTAGGGCCCATAGAATAAAAAATGTGAATTAGATGAATGAGTTTGTATGAAAGGAATGAGATTGTCCAAATTTGATGTGAGTCCCACCATTTGATTCAATTCCTACAATTTAGTAAATATGAAGGAATTCATTCTCATTATTTGATTCTCATTTCAAGTAAACATGGCCTAAGACTTAGACCACACCAACGGTTTTCTTCTAAAATTGCTAATGAAAGCATGAATATATATTAGTAAAGGCCCCGTTGGGTAATACGATTTGGTTTGTAGGCCAATATAAGCTTAGCTTAGCAGTTAAGTCACGTTGCTTATCCTCACATTTGTTGTATTTAAAAAAAACATATTTTAGTTTTATGTTTTTTTTTTAAATTATACTATTTTCTTACAATTCTTCAATATGTTTTTCAGATCTCTTTAAAACATTTGAATTTTTAGCCAAATTTCAAAAAGGATACAAACAAGTTTTTTAAAATGACTCTTTTTAGTTTTCATAATTTAGCTTACATTTTGAAAAAGTATTTAAAAAGTATATAATAAAACAAAGAAGTACATGGCCGAAAGTAGTATTTATAAACTTAATTTTAAACGAACACCATAAACAAAACAAAAAAGCTATCAAATATGGTCTAAGATAATCACTCCTAACTTCATGTCAATCTTAAGTGTATCCATGGAATATTGTTAATGAAAATGTTAGTGAATGGGCCGAATTAGGAACCCTTTTGGGCATGTGAATTACCCCTAACACACGAGCACTAAAAAACCCTGAAATCAATTCAATTTCAACCCTAAGATTTAGGTTAGACGCAGATTGCATCATGATAAAATCTCGTAAGATAAAGAACCTAGTTTCTTTGACCCAAGAGCTAGTCCAACATTCCACGAGATAGGATGATCAATCCTAGTTCAATCTTATTGATATGAACCTCAAGACATGAATTTCAAAATAGTTCACAAGTAGCTCCTAGCTAGGCTCGAAAGAAAAAGTCCAAAGACACCAAATACATTTTTCCAAAACTAAGGTATCAAACAATGATATTGCAAGACTTTAGATAGCCTCCAAATTAAACGGTAAATGCCACATCATCAACCATAGCAAAACAACAAAAACACCCCTACTCAATGTGTTCAAGAAAGGGTAAAATTGGAAAGCGGTAAAATTACACAGAAAACTCTTAAATAAAAGTATATTATAATTTGAAGTATTGGGCTGTCCATATCACACATCTTCTCGAATACATTCGCAGTAATATGAACAAACATAATAAGAAAGATGAACCAACCACACGTGAATACATCATTTAATCCAGTCTAGTCCACAAGTTTGGCCGTCCAACACAAACATATTAAAAAAGACAAGAAAAATAAAAAATTTAGGGTATCAAAATCCAACACAAGATCCAACAAAAAAATGCATCAACTTTATGGGCAACTAAATGATTATATGTCGACTGGAGTATAGTTTATCTAATTTACCCGTCACCAATGTGAAACTCAAAAGGAAAAAAGAGAAAATCTATATGTTTGTATGTTTGAATTTCCCTTTATTGTTATGTCATCTTATTGCTTGTTTATCACGAGAATGATTCCACTTGACTTGTATTTCATGATTAGTCAATAATTAAACACATGTTCATATCAAACAAAAAGAAAAGGAAAGAGGAAAGGCCCAACCTTTGGTTGTCCCTCTATTTTATATATGTTAAGAAATGCGAGAGGATGGTCAAAAAGAATAGGATGAGATCGATCATGATTAATTATTTTCTATAAAATCATAATAAATTAATTGCTAAATATATGTTATAGTCTATATGATACTTGGGTATTGTTTCAACTCGATTCTCCATTATGAAAAGTTTCGATGTTTTAACATTCTTAATTACACTTAATCGTTGATGAATGTTAAAATTGGCTTTGATAAACTTCCACACCAAAAAAAACTTTGTGAGTTAGTATAAATTTAGAAGAATAATTAAACTACTTCAAAGGAGAAAAGTCAAATTTCTACTAATTTTTTTAGAACTTTGGAGGAGGTATTAGAAACTTTTCTCTATTAGATTACTTAGAGTGCATTTGGTTGGTAATCAAAAAATAGAAATTTGAAAACAAGGTATTCAATGAAAACCAGAGTTGTATTCTTTGTTTTCAGTGTTTTCAGACATGTGTTTGGTAGCAGATTTGGTAATTGAATTTCGATTTAAAAAATTGTTCCATGTGTATTTAGTAATATATTTGTAAACTAGAAGTAGTTGCAAACTAAATTTTAGTTTAATCTAAACTTGTATTAATTAATTTATTAACATGTTTTTATGAATTTTGTATAATTGTTATTTTACAAGGTTATATAATTTAGAATACATTATATTTTACATGTTTTAATTTTAACAAACATAAAATGAGTTTATAATATAATGAGTTTATAATATGAACTAATATATTTATCAAAGTTTTTATGATTTTTAATGTAATTCTGCATCCTCAAAATTTCAAATTGTGAATCTGAAAACACTGAAAACATAAAAAAATCATCAGTTTCCAACCAAACAGACCCTTAATTTCTCCTCTAAATTTATGTGGACTCACCAAGTTTATCAAGTCAATTATAGTATTCACCAATATTGGTGAATATTATTGGAATATGGTAAAACAAAACAGACCAAATTGAAACTTTTTAAATAATAGGGACTAAAATGAAAAAGAATAACATTGAAGACTAAAATTGACCTAAATTAAATATAATAAATGGAAAGAAATATAAAATTGGGGTGATATATTAGGGAATTAATCATTGATTGTTTTCAAAATTAAAAAACATGCATGCATGGAAATGATTATATGTTTTTACTTTTGATTTCCTATAYTAAGGCTTAAGAGTTTGTTTAAAAGAATCAATCAATAGGGTTGAAATAGAAAGTGCTTTAAATGGGACTTTTTGAATGAATGGCCTTCAATTTTTATTTCCTTATTGATCTTTGTTTGTGCCTTTTTGATACACAAATGTTGCTGTCATTATGCTGTGTTTTTACCACAATGGCCCCTCAAATTAATGGTATTTGCAACCGTATACATAGACTAAATTATTTGATTTACATCCAAAGCATGGTTTTTTATTTAGTCCTCGTCCTTGATATGACATTGGTCCACAAAACACGTCAACTTTTCTTTTTAATATTTCAAATTTGATTTTTAATTACTAATTAATGCTCGAAATAGTCGAGTACAATCGTATCAATCTCTTTTAAAGACGGCCACTTGTCCATCTCCTTCTACTTTCTATTTGTCACATCATATCAAAGTAGTTACTATTTGTTCAATAAACCCGTCACGATCATCATTTATTGAATAGTGTTGATGTTGAATTTTGTTGAGCTACCAAAAGGTTGGCTATGTCTTCACTCAGATGAACTACAAAGGAGCGAACAATGCAAGGGAAGACCTGCAAAAAGGAAAAACATTCTATAGGAGTATAAGATAGAATTACGWAGTTGAATCGTAGAACTGGTGTCCTTTTTGTAAATGGAGTAAGGGACAAGTCTGTTAGGGCAATTTCGACAAGAGGTTGGGCAGTTAAAGACTGTCGAATTTGAGGTCAGTTTGCCTCAAGCTCAGATGTGCACTCTTAAGAAGAATCAATTGATCTTCTGAACTTCTTCAAGTCGGTTCTCCTTGATACATTGAACAGTCTCATATGTGTAGGATCTTATCAAACTTACCATGTTGACATATGATTCATCCACGTGTCACTCAATTTTTACCCTCCAATAACAACAAAAATCGCATTAACTAATGATTCATAATTTACGAATGTAATTTTGAAACTTTGTAAAATTGAAAGACATGATAGGCATCAACCATCAAAATTCATGATAAAAAATCTAAAACTTATAACAAAATTGGCCACGAAATTGAAAAGAAAAAAAATAACTCAGACTCTCGACAACCATTTTACTTTTAGCTTTCTATTTTTTGTAATCAAGCTTACGTTCACTTACTACTTTATCTATACATTTATTTGTCTTGTTATCCACTTTTTATTCAAAATCTAAGTGATTTTTTTTTCAAATATGGTCAACAATTCAAACGTATTCTTAAAAATAGTGAAAATCATATTAAGCAAACGGTGAGGGGAAAAAAATAATTTAAAAAAATAGGAAACTAAAAACAAAATCATTATTGGAGCTTAAATTACATATTTTAAAAAAAGGAAAGTTGAGAGGGACCAAGGAAATGAAAGCAAACACCCAAATCGAGGGACCAAAATTTAAAACTAAAAAAAAAAAAGGTAATATATATATGGTATAGGTTGAGGAAGAAGGAAAGAAAATAGAGAGATCGAAAAATGGGGAAATCAGAATCAGCATTGTTGAAGTGGAGGAGCTCATTCCTCCGCTATTTGTTGATAGTTGTGAATTTGGCAGCCATTGGAGCAGCTCCCCAAGGTTCTCTCATCACCAAACTGCCTGGTTTCACTGCCAATTTTCCCTCGAACCACCATTCTGGGTCTCTCTCTGTCCTCTGAATTTGTTCTCTTTTTTTTAGGGCTTTTTTTCTTTGTCTGAGCTTTTAGAGTGATGGGATTTGTCCATAGGTACATAAATTTAGATGAGAATTCGACAGGGAAGAAGCTTTTTTATTACTTCGTGGCATCGGAACGGTCTCCGGCGGAGGATCCGGTGGTTCTCTGGCTCAACGGCGGCCCTGGCTGCTCCAGCTTCGACGCCTTCGTCTATGAACACGGTACCTTTTCTCTCTCCTCTCTCAATTTTTTTTTTATCTTAATAAAACAATTATGTCTTTTAAAACCTCAATTTTTAATTATTTATTGTTAAAATACCTGTATTTATATTATAAAGAGATAGTAAAATAAATGTTTTGGAAGTAAAACTAAAATCTTAAAAATATGTATAATTATCGAAAGGGTAGAACAAAAACATCTTTTTTTAATTAGTTAGGGTCATGGGGGATAGGAAATGAATTCCTTTGCCTTTGACTTCGAGTTCGATCCCATTTTTTAATCTCTTTTTTTTTTAATTGTATTTATCAGCTTTTGTACGATAGACAAAAATTGGTAAATATTTATATAAAGTTGATGGTTGGTTGAAAATAATAAATTACTTTACAAATTTTTATTTTCTAATTTTTTTAACTTAAAAATGTACCTTTTTAATATATTATTTACTATATAGTGAATCTTTATTTTTTTTTAATACTTCCTACACTAGATAGTAGGAAATTCTCACCAAAGTGACAGGTATTTATTAATTCGAAAAAGTAAAAGAATTTTTTTTTCCTCTCCCTACGTTGCTCTCTCCTACCTAAAAAAAAATTGAGTGGTGAATGGTAGAATTCTTATTGCCTAATTAATCATAGTTAACTGACTAAGATATATATCTCGAACAAAAATATTTTAAATAGCGTATTAATTACATGATTCATGAGTTTAGTATAATAAAAAAAATTAAGAGAATTAGCTGGACTGAACGAACACTAAAATAAATTTGAAGTTCATTTCATTTTGGTCTCTACAACTTGTCCTTCTTTTCGAAACATTTTTTTTTTTACTTTTCAAAATAGTATCTCTAGACTAGAAGTCGGCTAAAATTCATGTATATTGTTTCTAATCGTAGCCAATTAATCTCTCACGTCATTTAAAACAAAGAGTTATGTATTAAGTTTCATTTGTCACATTTATAAATAACTTATTCATTTATTTCATTTTTCTTTAATCAAAGATATAACAATTCATCTTAAAAGTTAAGAGTATAAATTATAATTTAATATAAAAAAAATATCTGCAGGACCTTTCAATTTTGAAGAAGGAAATCCAAAGGGAACTCTCCCCACCCTACATCTCAATCCCTACAGCTGGTCCAAGGTGACACCAAAATAATAATAATTCTTTTTTTTTTTAATAATTATTTCTTTGTCTCATACCAATAGTTTGTTTAATTTGTTATTTTCTAAAAATAATTTATAATTATTTATTGTGAATATCTTTGTTTTTTGTTTCACTTTGTAAAAGTGCTTTTATTATAATGTTGGTTAAACTTCCTAAGAATTTAAATGAAATTAAACTAATTATATGGTTAACAAAGAAGTAAAGAAAAATATACTATTAAATATAACTCTAAAAAATTACGATTTAAATACTATTTTGGTTCCTGTAATTTTGATATTTTCAACTTTTGTTCATTTTAGTCATTGTAATTTCAAAACAAATGTTCCGCTCCCTGTTTAAAAAATGATCAATTTGGTCTTTGATTGTAAAATTTTATGTACGATAGAAACCTTTTAATACAAATTTATAGCTACATTTCAAGAAATTTAATACATAGAGTGTGTTATGCGAGAATTATTATTGAAACAAATGAGATAACAATGAAAATGAATAGATTCACTAGTGTGCAGGATCAATAAATGTTTTAAAATTACAAAAACTAAGTTACAAAAATATTGAAATGAAAATAGATGTTTTGAAAGTATATAAACTAAAATAAACCAAAGTAGAAAGTACATGGACGAAAATAATATTTAAAGGCTGATTCTAAGTGGTAGTTATTTTAATTTTTTTTTCTCCACAATTTCATTTGCCTTTTCTTACTAAACTTTGTAAAATATTTAATTTGGTATTTTGGTATGAATATTATTTTTGCAGGTTTCAAATATTATATATTTGGATTCTCCTGCTGGTGTTGGCTTATCCTACTCACCAAACGAGGCAAATTACATAACTGGAGATCTACAAACTGCTTCTGATACCCACACTTTTCTTCTCAAAGTAATTAATTTTTATTTATTATTAATTCCATTTTATTTAACGTTTTGACCACAAAAAAGATTAAAAAGAAAAGAAAAGAAAAGAAGAAAAAACACATTTTTCAAATATTTCACTTTAAATTTTCATTCAAGTTCCTATTGAATAAAGAAATAGTAGAGTGAAATTAGAAAAATATATTTTCTATGAGTCATCGGTTTGTTTAGGTTAAATATCTATTTTACTCTACTCAATAAAAAATAATACTAATAAAGTCATGTTGAAATCTTTTGATCCGAGTATGGTTACGAGGATATTTAGAGTCTGTTTTGTAATGTTCTTATTTCATGTTTATTGTTTCTCATTTCATGTTTATTGTATTGTTGCTGCTTTCCTCTTTTACGATTAAGAAAAATAGAACGGAATTGGTTTTGCTTATGATCTTTTCTATGAAAAAAAAAGAAAGAATATGTTTGTAATTATTTCTTATTTCTTATTACCTAAAATTATATAAAATAAGTAAAAATTTTATATAAAATTAAAAATTAAAAATTTCAAATACGGTATGTTATAGTTATTTTTTTGATATTTATTATGCATTTAAAATAAATAATAAAATAATATTTTATCTTTTTTCTCTCTCTCTCTCTTATATTTAATTATGTAAAAAAAATTGAAATTGAGGCAGTGGTTTAAGGCCTTTCCAGAGTTCCTTCAAAATCCATTTTACATAGCAGGGGAGTCTTATGCTGGAATCTATATCCCTACACTTGCTTCTCAAGTTGTCAAAGGTAATTATTTATTTATTTTAAATTACTATGTTATTATTTTAAAAAATATTAAATTTTGCACCATTAAAAAAATATATATTTGTGTGAACTTTAGTGAAGATACGATATAATCATCGTGCAAAACATTGAATTAGTCGAAAAGGTAAAAGAACAAATATCTTTTAACTTTTTTTTCTTCTTTAAATTCTCTCTATATCATATCCCTACTATTTAAATAAAGGTTAAAATACTACGTTAATCCCTGTACTTTCAACTTTAGTTCATTTTAGTCATCGTACTTTAAAAATGTTCATTTTAGTCGTGTATTTTAAACTTTGGTTCATTTTAGTCTCTCTACTTTTAGTTCTTGTACTTTTGAAAAATGATCATTTTAGTCATTCTTTGTAAAATTTTAACATAAATTTTACACATAACAAAAACTCTTTAGTATAAAGTAATGTTTACATTTTAAGAAATATATTGATTTTAGTGTCGTGTTGAAATTGTGATAGAAAAAAATGAAATTAAGAATAAAATTAAGGGACCAAAATGGTCACTTTTTAGAAGTACAGAGACCAAAATGAATATTTTGAAAGTACTGGGACTAAAATGAACCAAAATTGAAAGTACTGGGACCAAAACAAACATTTTGAAAGTATAGGGACCAAAATGAACCAAAGCTAAAAGTAGAGTGACCAAACTAGTATTTTAACCTTAAATAAATAAACTGTCAGTTGTTTTTCTTATAGGAGGTTGGATTTATGACCCATAATAAATATTATTAGTGTCTTAATCAGTTGAGTTATATCTAAGACGGTCATTAAAAATAAAAATAAAAATACTAAAATATTAAGACTGAAATTAAAAATCATATGTATACGTATTTATGCATGTCTCTAGGCCTTTATTGGAAAATTGTGAAATAGTGATATCTTATAATTATTTATTAATGGATGTAGGGCTAAAAGTTGGGGCTGTACCAGTAATAAATTTTAAGGTATGTTGTTAATTTTGTTTTTTTGAAATAAAATGTAAAGTATGAGAAATTATTAAATAAACTTTTTGGTGTCAATGCAAATTAATTAATAGGGTTACATGGTGGGGAATGGTGTGACTGACCAAAAGTTTGATGGCAATGCTCTCGTCCCCTTTGCACATGGAATGGCCCTCATCTCGGACGCTATCTTTCGGGTAATAATTTCTTAACTCGATATCGTATATAATATGTCTTTTAAATGTCAACTTATATATTTTTGTTTATGTGGCATCGTCGTCTGTTAGTCTCTAAACTTTAGAAAGTTGCATTGATATGTTTTTAGATTTTGAGCTATAAACTTATTTTTAAGTATATGTTATTTGTCTTCACCATTAAGAAAGGGTCTAAGATATTCAAGTCGAGCATTCATCGATCGGTTCAATGACAAGGACCAAAGATCATGAGTGTATTCAAAGTCTACTATGGTTTAGTTCATGTTAATGGCAAGGTAAAGGATAATTTAATGCTTTTAAGTTAATCGAGTTGGACGTTTCGTTAATCAGTGTTAATGATAGGGATCAAAATTAAGATAATTTAAATTTAAGGGTGTAATCAAAACATTTTAAAATTTGAAAGATTAAGTTGATCTACAATTTATAATTTAAGCTATTTTAGAATATAAGTCTAGGGGGTTGTTTCTCTATTGATGTATTATCAAATTTTAATTGTAACTAATCAAAATGTATATTTGTGTAAAGCTCGATAATAAGAGAAAATGTATTTAAAAGCATAAATATTGAAAAATAAAATGAAAATTTAGAGAAAAAAATAAAATAAATGTATGGCATTGTAGGCAAGCTTTAAATGGTGATGGAGCGTCCCAATCTCAATTTTAATTGATATTTCTAAAAAACTATAAAGATAAAAAATTCATAATAAAAATTTAAAATAACAAACAAACATTTTATTTTTTTAAACAAGTTAAAATTTATTAATATTAAAAGTATGTCTAGCGATATTTTTTGTTGATTTTTTTTAAATATTTTTGTCAACATTTTTCATCTCAATTCATCTTATATATTGATATCAAATTTATGAAAATATAAATTGTCGATAAAAATGTTTGACATGTTAATACTTGATTGTAGGAAGCCGAAGCTTCATGCAGTGGCAATTACTACCGCCCTCAAACTAGCGACTGCTCTAAAAAGCTTGATCGAGTTGAGGAGGTGAATTTTTTTCCTTTGTTCTTTAAATTATCTTTTATATTTTTTAATTTTCTCCCATATGAAATAATGAAATGATGGAGAGAGATTTATTTTCTCATTCATAAACAAGTTTCTATTATTAACCACGGTCTTAAATTTTTTAAGAATTTTGAAATCATTCTAATAAAGTATGAATGGAGATGTTAGGTTCTGGATGACTTAAACATATACGACATCTTGGAACCATGCTTTCATGAACCAAATGCGAACAAAGCCAACAAGACAAACACAAATTTACCATCGAGTTTTCAGCAACTCGGACAAACGAAGAAGTCTTTGGCTGTCAGGAAGCGGATGTTTGGTCGTGCTTGGCCGTTTAGGGCACCAGTGCGTGATGGCATTGTCCCATCTTGGTCTGAACTTATTGAGAGTGACACCAAATCCCATGTCCCGTGTATGGTTAGTTCATTCTCACCATTTTACTACATGTTTCTCAATCTTTCTCCATGTTAAATTACAAATTTAGCTATTAAACTTCAATGGTAGTATCTATTTAGTTTTGAAACTTTTAAAACTTTTTATTACATCCTTAAAAATTCAATTTTAATTCTAATATATTATATCGTGGTTAAATATAATTAATTTAATGTTGATGTGACATAAATTAATTAAAATAATAAGTGATAATTTAACATCACATGACGTGACGTAATAAGTGTGCCCGGTAGATAAAATAAGAGACTAAAACAATTTGGTGAAGTAATTAAATAAATAAGCCCTTTAATTTTTTTAGTATATGCTCTTATTCTTGTTTTATTATCATTTATGTCATATGTTGTCATGCCCGGTTGAAACTTATTAGTCTAATCTAATCATGTGTCAAGTTAATATTTTAGTAATAATATTATTAACAACAATAACTTATTGGAATCAAAATCGTGCAAATAATTGAAATATATTTTAAAAAACGATACTAAATAGATACAACTATAAAAAATTTAGAGATCATATTTTTATGAGTTAACATTCTTTTATTATCATATACTTTTTAATGTGATATTATTTTTATACCCCATCTTCATTCAAAATTTTTTTTTTGTAAGTATATATTATTTGGTTAAATTCTCTAATTACTTCATACGGTTTTAATTTAGTCTCCTTCTCTAAATAAAAAAGATAGTCTCCCTCCTTTGAATAGTTTTATTATGGTTCATATTATTTAATTGGGTCCCATAGGATGATGTCTTGACAAAGTTATAGAAATCCTGTCGTATCACCACTATTACTATTCTTGTGTTCAAATTTTATGTTGGTCATTGTGTTGCTCAGTCTAGACAACGAGTCCTGGTTATAATAATCATTGATTAATTTAAACGTTTTTCTTAATATTTTATCTTAATTAAATATTTAAAGTTTGACAATCTAACTGTTTTTGCTTAATATTTTTTTACGAAAGCAGAATGATGAAGTTGCAACGACGTGGTTGAACGATGAATCTGTGAGAGCGGCAATTCACGCCGAGCCGGTATTTCTTTATAACCCCATAATTAAATAAAATTTTGATTCCTATATTTTCAACTTTGGTCTGTTTTGGTTTATTTTGGTCTGTATATTTTCAACTTTGATTCATTTTAGTATCTCTATACTTTCAAAATATTCGTTTTGCTCAATTAATTTTATTTTTATCTCATTATTTTTCTATCACAATCTCACACTACACTCAATAAATACAACAAGATTTTGTATTAATTAAATTGTTTCCAATTTTACAAATAGGGACCAAAATAGTAAATTTTTTAAAGTACACGTACCAAAACAAATATTTTAAAATTACAATGACTAAAATGAAGTAAAATTGAAACTATAACTGAAGTAAATAAACAAAAACTGAGAATACAGATACTAAAATAGTATTTTAATCTAAAATTTTTAAATAAAAATAATTCTTTGATCAATTAATTAAAAAAAAAGAAAAAACAGGAAAATGTGGCAGGTCCATGGGAGCTATGTACTCGTAGAATAACGTACTTTCACAATGCTGGAAGTATGATTCCTTATCACACAAACCTTACTTCTCAAGGATACAGGGCCCTTATCTACAGGTAAATTAACATCTTCCCTTTCTTATATTAATTTGGTTTAAATACTATTTTCGTCCTATTTTATACTTTTAAAACTTTCATTTTGGTTATATATCTTTAAAACGTGACCATTTTAACCCTTTTATTTTAATTTTTATCTCATTTATTTTTATCACTGTTTTAGCATGATACTTTGATCATTAAATTTCTCGAAATGTAACTATAAATTTGTATTAAAAGTGTCTCTATTGTATATAAATTTATAAAATTTATGTTAGAATTTTACAAATAAGACTAAAATGGTCACTTTTTAATAGACATTTTGAGTGCTGATAGGCTAAAATAAACAAAAGTTGAAAGGATAGAGATCAAAATATATAATTCAAACCTCTTTATTTTTATCAATTTTATCTCTATATTTTATTTTTTTGAGCAAATTGCACGAATCACTTCTAAAGTATAGTGACTGTTACTCTTGTATCCACAGATTTTTTAGTGTAAAACTTAAATTATCAAACTTGCAAAAATGACAAAACTGAATACTTTTGTAACTTGCAATTAAAAATTGCATTCCATGGATACATAAACACTTTTATTGGTTAAAAAATTTGCTTAAATTACCGGTTTAATCCCTAAATTTTCCTAAGTATTTAATAAGTCTCTAAAATTTAAAAAATGTCTACGTCTTTGAACTTTCAACCGTCGCAACTCAATAAATATAAAACATAACATTGAAATTTTAGGAACTTATTATTCATTTGACCTATTAAACACAAGAGAAGAACTTAATTATCTCTTGTAACATAATTTTTAAGAATGTTTTGTATTATAATTATTATTTAAAATTTTCTTCTTTTATTTATTTATTATTATTATTATTTTCTTTTCATTCTCCTTTATAATGAAAAACAGTGGAGACCATGACATGTGTGTGCCATACACTGGAAGCCAAGCTTGGACTTCTTCACTTGGATACAAAATTGTTGATGAATGGAGGCCATGGCTCTCCAATGCCCAAGTTGCTGGGTAATTAATTATGTATTTTTTATGCATCATAAATTCATTTTCTTTTAACAAAAAAAAAAAAAAACTTTAAATCATATTTTCTACTTCTTGGGTTATTTTTTATTGTCTATAATTTTAAATATTTTAATTTTAGCCTTTGAACTTTGCATAAATTACAATGTTGGTCAATATGTAGGGATGAAGATTCGAATTCACGATCTTTAGATTGAAAATAGGTAATTTGAAGCTGTTAAACTATTACTCAGGTTGGCGTATGCAACCAGAGTCAAAGTTTTAGTTTTATGTTATAAATGATTGATAGAAAATTGAGAGGAAAGACTAAGTGGCATAATTTATAGAAGAAGAGAGAATATTTAAAGATGAGAGACTACTAAAATAAAACGTGTGGGATAGTTTAGGGAATAAAATAGGATTTTAAAAATATTATTTTCACTTACAAATCAAGCATTCTTCCTCTTTCTACTCTTCAAGGTATTTACAAGGATATGAGTACAATCTCACTTTCATCACCATAAAGGTATGTATTATTTTCAAAATTATGGTCTAAAATTTGTCAAATTTTGTGAGTCTTATATTAGTTTTCTTTTTATTAAAAAATTTCCTTTTATTTATATTTGACAGGGAGCGGGACACACTGTACCTGAGTACAAGCCCAAAGAGGCATTCGATTTCTATAGTCGATGGCTAGAAGGAACTCCGATATGATCAAAATTGAAACATCTATCTTTCAATTGAATGATATAAAAAATCATTAATTTTCCTTTTGTATCCAAATGAAACCAAAATTATTGCAAATATAAACTTAGCTCAGTTATAATTGACACATGTCTCTGACCAAGAGATCATGAGTTCGAATCTCCCCACTTGTTGTACCAAAGAAACAAAAAACTATTTACTACATCAATACATCATCAATGAAAATCTCACTCTCTCCCTCATTATAGATTAATATGTTATACGGCCTCCCTACGAAGATCACGAGAGGCAAATATTTCAAACATAGGAACTTATGAAAGCGGAGCTTGGATCTAATCCCTCTTTTGTTTGGTGAAGCATTATTTTGGTCAAGGAACTTTTCAATAAAGGCTACAATATGTGAAGGATTGGGAATGGGTTCATGGTAACGATTAAAAGTGGTGATTGGATTTCGAGTGAATTTACTAGGGTACTAGAAATGAGGAGCGTATTAGAAGACATTTTTGTGATGAGGATGTAGAAACTATTCTACAAATTACCATCCCTAGTCAAAACAAAGAAGATTAGATTATTTGGAATTTAAACAAGAATGGTTTGTTCAGTGTGAAAAGCCCTTATCACCTTTTCAACCTCCTCAAAGAAATACTAGAGACAGAGATGAAAAAGCTTTTGGAAGATTAAAACTCCTCCAAAAACAAAAATATGCTATTTACAATGATATTATCCCTAGGGTTGTGTTTGGGGAAGGGAATATCCTGGACGCGTGGAGGACCCCTATTGGTGCTCCAAGATTGCTCATTAGTCATGCCCAGTTCGGATAGCCGAGATGGCCGCCACTAACGTCGACAAATGCTAAGTATGAGGGCCGAGGTGAACCTGGCCCAAGTCTGACCTACCGGGGAGCTCGGTAGGGGCTGATGTGAGCAACTGTCTGCGGCGTGATTATCGGGCGTAACCGTCGGTCCCGAGATTACCGGGTGTAACCGACGGTCCCGAGATTACCGAATGTAACCGTCGCGAGATTAGCGGGACTACCACCCATAAGTAGAGGACCTCACTCCCCGATCAGGTACGACGATTTCTGGCCTCGAATTAAACTTGGAATCCGACCTATACTGACTTGATCGTCGGAGTGCTCACCTTTTTGTGCAGGTCCGCCCAAGTGTTCAGGTCGGTCCGGAGGCCGAGTTCGAGCTACAATCGGGAACACACTGTTGTGCATATCCTTGCATAAACAGGTTGATTAATGATTTAAATCCAAATTCAAATTAGATTTGAATTAAGGAACAATTAACCCACAAATGAAGGGTTTGATCATCCGAACATTCTAGAAAAAAACAAGAATGACTCCTAACCACCCTTTCATTTACCCTCATTGAATTTCAAGTGTTCTGTTTAAATACTTGAAGACTGGTCTTGTTTTTATTCTATTTTATTTCTTTGCTATTTTGTCTCAATCTTCCTATGTCAAAATCACTTCTTGATTTATTTTTCTGTATTTGTTATTGAAAATATGGTAAACATGATAAGGACACCAAAATATTAGGATAAGAGCTCAGAGGCTAAAATGAATAAGACAATAGAAAGTTTATCCCTTATAAATTTATAACCGAGTCATGAATTGGATTTGATATACTTATTCCAGTATATAATCCAAGTAAATAGTCAGCTTCATATGATTATTTGGGAAAAAAGTTTTGTTGCAAGATGATTGAAGACTGAGTGTTTTAAAATCACTCTTGTCTTTTGAGTGCTTTAAGAACTTAGATAATTTTTGGAATCGACACAGTGGTGATAACCTTTATGAAATTATGACCAAAGCTTTTGTGTACGAGCTCAGTATACAAGCTACTTTAGAAAAGCATAAGGCTTCAGTCTATGGAGAAAGGATCCATCTCAACCGAAACAAACGTGGAGTAGTGATAAGTCTTGAATTTTAGGAAAAAGTGTTTACAAATTGTGCATGTTTAGTGTCTTCTGAAATTAAATACATATGTTTCATGCATTGAATCAGGTATAAATGAGACTATTTCTTAGGAAAGACTTGTACACTTGGTTTTGGATAAATAGATGGAATTATGAGGAAATATATATGTTTTATAGGAAAAAGGAAGGAAAAAGCAGCAATGCACCTGCTGCAGATGACACAGAGGCTATCTTAAAGCTAGCAGCGATACGTCTGGCGCATCGCCAACACTCCAGAAACTTCAGCAATGCTTCTGGTGCATTCTCCACCTACAAATAAGGGCTTTTGTTGACCGGGCAGTTGGAAGAAATCTCAACCCATCCCTTGATCCGTGCAACCAAATGCTGTTAAAGCCCCATTGTAGCTCCTCCACTCAAATACCCAAGATTTTCTCCACCAACTTGCAAGGTTTAGCTTATAAATACCAAGTTCCATCAAGCTTCAAAGGGGAGCTCACTTGACATTTAAATTCCAACTTGCTTTCTCTCTAGAATTTACGCTTTGATAATTTGTTATGTCTTTAATTGTGTTCAACATTCTTGGAATTATTTTTATTGCAATCCCATTTTGTTGTTATCATTTTCTTTAGATTTTGGTTCTCGATTTTAATTTAGCTATTGTAATTACTTCTTAAACTTAATATGACATTTTATTTCAATCCACTTCTTATTATTTCTATTTTTCATGTTTC